GACCTATACAATTTTTTTTCCTTTTGATTTTTTACCTGGATTACTGAGATGCATCAGGACGATTTAAAGGAGGGGGTTTCGGTTTCTGTTTGGCTACAACGTCCTTGCTGCACCCTTCAAAGGCAAAACATCCAAACAGGCGCGCTCACACTCATCCATTCACACTGATCTAATTTTACATTTAGTCAATTGAGCTGCCTCCTGTCAGTCTGTGGGGATGCTGCAATGCGATTTGGGTTAAACATAACTTGATGGGCATACATGTGAGATGGACAGAAACACACCGACGTGCAGAGATTATGTTGTACCACCAACACACTCCCACAGAAACACAGAGCGGCCGTGCTTTCTGAAGGACAAACATTTCATCTCCCCTGCTCTTCCTTCCTTGCCGTTTCAGCACAACTGTCAGCCTCACAAACTGTGTGTGTGTGTGTGGTGGGTGGTGGTGCATCTGTGGGTTTCTCTCATCTGTACAGCTCAGTTCGAAGCTGCACTCGTCTCCTTTGCGTGTCCTTTCTGGTTTAGCTGGTTGGGAGCTTTAACCTTGTCTCCACATGTTATCACAATGCATCTAGTTTCCTGGCATTCTGATGTTTGGGTGGATATACGGGCGTTCGGTGAGGCGTGTGGCTTGAGATGCGATTCACAACAGCTCATGTACAATCAGGATCAGTTTGATTGATCTGCAGGATATATTTCTTTGCTTTTCATACCAGCTCCATACTTTAGGTGAACACCAGTGACAGGCAGTAATAGTTTACATAAACACCAGATGCTGCAGACGAACTCTCTTGGGTGCATCTAACGTTTGGGTCTGTGCTTATACAAGACTATAAACCCCAAAAGCAGCTCAGAGTGTTTTCTCACTGAAATGGAAAGAGGTGCAGGATCTTTGGGTTTAGTTTAGTTTTTCATTCTTTACTGTATAAAAGACAACAAATGGGAGCTTTCTAAAAAAAATGAGTTGATGTAGATTTCATTTTAGAATTCTTTATTTTTATTCGTGGATTTTGTGCATCAGTTTGTAGACTCTTATAAGAAAGCTTTAATTATCCAAATATAAACTATAATTGCAAGTAAATTCCTGTATCTTAGTTTGTTTAGTTTAAAAAATGTTATTACCACAAGATTTATTTGTTGTTTCTTCCTGCAGCTCAGAACTATGGCCTTCCTGTGTGTATTTTTTTAATTGGATCAGTCTAATTCCCAGTTTAAAGTAAAAACCAATAGGCACTCCATGTTAACTTCTTTTGAAAAGTTGAGTAATTTGATTTGTTTTGTCAAGAACTTTGAATTGAATTACATTTAAAGGGGCAATATTATGTGTTTCTCAGGCATACATTTAAATACCATACCATAAATAAGTATCTATGTCACCTTTAGTTGTTGTTAAAATGTTGTTTTTTTGTTTAAATAGAAAATAAACTTATCTTCTCATCACTTCCTCTTCTAAACGCCTTGAAATTGGCCTCTGTCTCTTTAAGAATCACCTTCCGCTTCTGTCTCACCCATTTTGGTGCGGGGTGGGGGGTCGTGCGTGCTATGATGCAGTTTACTTGGCATCTGAAAATACATTTCCTCAAAGGTATTTTGAATCCGAAAAGAGCTTCACTGAGTGAGAAATAGTGTTAGGAGCTCAGAGGACAGTTAGGTTTCACTTTCACTTTGCTCTGTTACTGCCGAGAGCCGGCAGGAGTCATGGGCGGGGTGGG